CTCTAACTTCAAAGCACTTCCATTCAAAAAGGGTAAAACCCTGGCTGCAGTTGAATGAGCGAAAATGGATTGAATGGTAAACTATAAATAAATTTATAGTTCAATTGTTTATTACTTTGTCTTTAGGTTTGTGTCTTCTAAGCGAAAGTTTTGTAACACAGAACCAATCTGAGGTTTTTGATAAATCTATAGACCGGACAGCAGATTGGAGAAAACACATGGCGTATATAAATTTCTATAATAAAAATAACATATTCGAGGCTGCTAATATATCTCATTTAAATTTTAGTAAAATCAGTAGTTAAACTTTACTACATAAAAATTACACAGAATTTTCTGTAGTTAAGTTTAATTAATGATTTAACTATACTTTGAAATAGATAAGTTAACGGCCTTTAATGAATTTTTTATTTATTACATGGTGTGACAAAACAAAACCATACATGAATATACCTGCATAAAAGAAAAGTAAGTGCGCCTGGGCCACACTGGAGAAGTGAAACTTACGTTACATACATATCTATTTTGTTTCATAACCAATATACATACATACATACACTCATCTGCTTTTGCTTAAGGTTATATTTTTATCTTTTTTCTATCTAGATCCCTACCTCTACCCCTGTTCGTTCTAATTACATTTATGTTTTTCTTTATCTTCATTTTTATATTTATACTCTTTCGATAACAAAATCGATAGTAACATCCAATAAAAAATCGATAACGAGAAACTCGATAAAAATATCGATAAAAATAACCATAACAAAATTGATAAAAATATCCATAATAAAATCAATTAAAATATCGATAACAGAATCGATAAAAATATCGATAGCAAAATCGATAAATATCGATAACAAAATCGATATATGTCGATATCAAAATCGATAAAAAAATCGATAAATGTCGATAACAAAAACGATAAAAAATTGATGAAAATATTCATAACAAAATCGATATATATCGATAACAAAAACGATAAAAAATCTATAAAAATATCCAAAACAAAATCGATAAGTATCGATAACAAAATCGATACCAAATCTATAAATATCGATAACAAAACCGGTAAATATCGATAACAAATCGAAAAATCGATAAATATCGATAAAAATGTCGATAACAAAATCGATAAAAATATCGCCAACAAAATAGTTAAAAATATCGATCACAAACCCGATAAAAATATTGATTGTTATATCGATAAGTTCCGAAAATATCGATAGTAAAATTGACAACAACATCGATAAAAATTTCGATAAAGAGATCGATAGACAACCGATAATTATCGATAACAAAACCGATAAAAATATCGATTATTTTATCGATAAGTCCCGAGAATCCCGAAATTCTCTAAAATCGTAAAATAGTTCCCAGATTGAGTCTGTGTGTCTCTCCCTATATCATTTCCTCTTTAGTTACCTTTGTTTTAATCTTTCCTCCCCTATCTTCATCTTTACTTTCATCGGTATTCTCTTTGTCTTTACTTTTATGTTTATCATTTTCTTCATCTAAATATTCCCCTTCACTTTTGCACTTATATATATAAGTAAAGTGTTTAAAATTACCTTGGTCTTCATTTTTGCCTTTATCTTTACGCATCTTTGTTTTTGTTTTTATTTTTACTTTTGCTTTTATACTTTTCTTTATTTATGTACGTAGTCACCTTTACTTTCATTCTTGTATTGGTCTTTTTCTATTCTTTAACCTTTTATTAGCAAACTTTTGTTAAATTAATACCATATGCATACACACAATTAGCACATGTTTCAGCCCCAACCATTTCTGTTGCATCATTTCCGTTGCACCATTTCCGTTGCACGATTTCGGTTGCACCATTTCCGTTGCACCATTTCCGTGTGAAATTTTCGTTGAATTTGCCAATTTAAACCCAACCAACCAACCGCCGCTAAAGAAGTTTTACTTCAAAATCTGCATACTCAAACTGTTCAGTACGTCCCCATATTTATACATACATATGTATATAATTTAAGAGAAGTTATATCGCTGCAAAGCAACGATTATAAATTGTTATAGTTCGGGAGCTAGCGGCAGTAAAAATGTGCCGATTTTATCGTCAAAGACAACATATCGGGGACTTAAATTTACTGCTGTAGATTAACAAACAAAAACACTTACATCGCACCGTGGGACCTTTTGGTGTCAAGA